CAAGCAGTCACTGCAGGGTCATCAATGACTGAGCGCAAAAAAAAAAAAAAAAAAAAAAAAGCATCTTTAAAATTGCCAGTTAGGGCCTTGAGTTAGGTCCTTTGCCTTCTGAGAGACTGGAGGTTAGAATTTAGAACAGGGCTTTATCAGCAACGGCACAAAGAAGTGGGATGCCTTATGCTCTTTCTCTGGAAGCTCAGTCAACTTCTCTTCTTTTAGTTTTTGGGAAAACAACATTAGACAGATCTAATAAACAAACCATTAAAAACAATAATAGGATTTACCACCCACTCTAACCCAAGGCATGGGGAAAGAGCCAGGTTTTCAGGGCACTTTTAAACACAATCAAGGTAGTGACCAGAAGTATCTCAGGGTGGATGGTGTTCCAGAGGTCAGGAGGTATGACAGAGAAGGCACGCTTTAGGTTCCATTAGGCAACATTGCTTAATGGATGGGACCTGGAGCATGCCAATTCTGCCCAATCATACAGAAACCATAGAAGATAGATAGTCCTTCAGATAATCAAGCCCTATGCCTGAAGGCATATGCAAGAAAGGCTTTATAGATAATAACCAGCAATTTGAATTCCACCAGAAAGCTTGCTGGTAACCAGTGCAGCTCAGGGAGTAAATTACATGGACATGGTTATCTAAACCACTGTTACGTGGGCCTGATGAGGCATGCCCATAATTGCCCATGCTGGTGAATTCTGATCAGCTGCAGCTTCTGAGTGGTTTTCAAGGGCAGCCCCACATGCAATAGTCTATTCACAAGGTGAGCAAAATGTGAGTGACTGCAAGGTCTCCCAGTCCAGGTAAGGGCAACATTGGCACATAATATGGATTTGTGCAAAGGCCTTTTTAGCCACGGCTGTCACCTCCCCTTGACCAGGAGCTGTGAGTCCAAGAAGATGCCCACGTTGCAGACCAGCCCTGAAGGGATAAGTGCAATCCCACTGAGGACTAAAATGAAATGTCCCCGGCCCCAGGGGATCTAAAAACTGACAGCCACTCAGACTTGGCATGGTTGAACTTTAATCTGTTCCTCCCCATCCAGTCCCCTACAGATTCCAGAAACTCAGACAAGGCTTTGACAGCACCACCTGGTCAGTCTGGGGTCAAAATGTATAATTGGGTATCTTCCATGTATTGATGATACCTGACCCCAAACTGACAGATGACCTCAACCAGTAACTTCATGTAGATATTAAACAGAAGGGACAAGAGTGTAGAGCCATGAGGTACCCCACACCCCAGGGGCTTTAGACTCAATCTCTTCCCTCCTGTCAATATCAAAGGGACCTAACCACAAAGAAAGAACAACTGAAACACTGTGCCTTCTCTCCCAATCCACACAGGCAGGCCACAATGATATGGCTGATGATACTGAGAAATCAAGAAGAATCAGGATGGTTGCACTACTCCCATCCCGGCTCCACCAAAGGTCATCAGCAAAGCAGAACCAATGCTGTCTCAGTATTAGATCTGGATTTGAAACCTGACTGAAAGAGATCCAGATACTCACTTTCTTCCAGGAGTACCACCACTTTCTCAACAACTTTCCTTTTCCTGGGAAAAGAAAGATAGCAGCTAGCTAGGAGACATATCTGTCTCACTTTGAACTCTCACCACACATTGTTATGGTACTTCTGTATATTTTAGCATATCTAAACATAGAAAAAGAATCAGGTCAGACTTATTACTCCTTGCTTCAATATTAAATATGTATTTTCAAGAAGGTGAAAAATTTATAAGTGGAGAGATAGTCATTTGTAAGGCTGGAAGACCTAATTTTTTTTAAAAAACAAAGATTAAATCTTCCAAGACTCTTTCTTCAGAATGGTCAGAATCACCTTATTGTTTTCAATATCTCCAAATAAGCAGCATAAGTCAAAAGGAATTACAAAAACAAGGCAACTGCTTAGAGATTTGACAAGATGTAAAAAACTCACACAAAACTCAGAACATCTGCTGGGGCTCATTTACAAGATGTTATTGAAATATGATTTAGAAACTAAACAAATTAAAGAAGGTATGATTAAATGGATGAAAAATTTAAACTACACAATTGATATACAACAACAGGAGTATCAATGGAAGACAAATGAATATTACATATAGAGAAAACTGGTACAAGAAGTTTTACCACTGGTATCTTGTTCCAGTGGGGATTGCTAAAATAAATAACTCAATTTCTAAAAACTGCTGGAAATGCAATAATTAGCTCATATTCTTTTCTATCTAGTGGTAGTGTTGTAAAGCTCAACAATTCTGAAAGATGAAACAACTTTTAAAGGCTGAATTCTCTTTTTTGCCAACTGTTTTTGTTAAACATTACCAAACTTTATATCCCTACAAAATATACCAAGTTGGCTTTGTATATGATAACAGCTGCCAAGATTCTTTATGAGTTTTACTAGAGATCACATATAACTCCCTCTTTAGAAGAATGGCAAATTAAGCTATGGGAATATTCATCATTGTTAAAAATAACCTTATATTTGAAAAATAAGTTTGATACATAATTTAATTCGTCTTGGAAAACATGCAGATTATAATTCTACAGATGGATATGTACTATATCTGAAGTTTAGGTTTTCTTAACATAAGGCTTTCATGTATTAGTTTTTAGCTTGATAAAGATAGGATTTTTAGATTGGATAGAAACTTTTGTTAATTGTTAATTCTTATTTATGATTCATATTATACTGATCACTTTTTAAAGTACTGAACATTGACTTGATTCAATAATGGTTTTGAAGTCTTAAACTGATACAAGACATGCTAATATGCAATACTAATCTAATGTTACTTTGAATTTTTATTCAGTTTTGTACAGCTTGTAGAACTCTTTTCTATTTTCTTTTAGTTTTTCTTATTCTTTTTCTGTTTTTCCTCTTGGCTGTGTTTTTAAATATCTACTAATAAATACACACACACACATTTTAGCACATGTATGGCAGCAGATTGTAATCCATTATTTCCTCTTCACTGCATGCTTCAAACAGAAGATGTGTTTCTCTCATTTCTCTTGAATAATTTATTATATTAAAATTAAAAAGTTGCGGAAAGCATTCAAAATCTAATTTTACTTGAACCGCAGGATGCAATTAAAGTAATGAATATTCTCTACATATTTACAAAGAACACATGCTGTGCTATGTGAGCTGAATTAACTGCAGTAACAACTCAGGAAACTTTTCAAAAAGTATGTTACCACTGCACTCTGCTGGACAAAATTACACCCCACAACTTTAAGCTAATGGAACTACTGAGTCTTCTTTTGGATTGGAGGTGAGAAATGTTGACTAGATTTAACATACTGCAAGTTAGTAATATGCTGTTTTCTCCTCAAAATAATGGTTGCTTGTAGCCCTCCCTTATGTTGCCACTTGCTCTAGAAACATGAGCCCTATGAGAATGCTCAAGTGCCCCATTATATTACATTTATATATCGCATATATGTTTTCTTTCTCTGAGAATTCAACCAAATATATGGGGATTTCCAGGTAAACTCTGTCATCCCTCCTTAATTGAAGCATACTATTTTCCTGAGAAACACATCTTCTATTTGAAGCATGAAGTGAAGAGGAAATAATGGATTACAATCTGCTGCCATACATGTGCTAAAATGTATCTGTGTGTTTAAAAACATAGTCAAGAGGAACAACAGAAAAAGAATAAGAAAACTAAAAGAAAATAGAAAAGAATTTTCTACTGCATGAACTCAGGAAAAGGCAGGTCTTCTTTAGGAGTTTACAGGAGCAGCGAGCCCACATCCTCTTGGATGCACGAATAGCTGCACAACATCAAAATATCCAAGCAGGCTGTCAGTTGGCAACAGGTACCTAAATAACACTTCAATAGATTTAACATATATAGATGAAGGCCTACAATCCACCAGGAAGCATTCTTATAATTTCTATCCAAATATAAGGATTTATTTACCTACAATAATTTACATATTTAATACCTTCTACTTACTGAATCACACTTTGTCTGAGCCCGTTCCGCAGCTGGTTTTTGTTCATTGCTGGGTTCCATTCTTGCTTATCCAGGTGGGTAGATACAAAGTTGTCCACTTTCTGTCTCAAATTCTGGTAAGCTGGCTAAACAAAATTGCACAATGAATACAACATACTTGAAAGGTTTCTTATAAAATCCTTCTTGGGGAAAAAAAATCTACCCTTGTCAAATTTTTGACAAACAATTCTAAAAGAAAAACAAAACAAAGTCTAACAGTAAATTTAAACATAAGAAAATGATATAAGCAATGTGTGCCTCAGAAAGCATGGAATAATCATACAGGAATCCCTTCTAAGGCACACTCTGCTTATTGAGCACATGCTTCATACCCATTACTTTGGAGCAGCACAAAGAATATCCTTCTAATACAGTGAGGGAAAAAATTATTTGATCCCCTGCTGATTTTGTACATTTGCCCACTGACAAAGAAATGATCAGTCTATAATTGTAAT